TGCCCGCTCTCATCCAAGGACTTACAACAGACGAGCACTGCCGTGGTTTCCAGCCAGAGCCCTCCGCCCTGGCCGAGCCTCCAGAGCCATCCCCAGCCCGCGTGTCCCTCTGCGGTCACAGCTCAGGGACAAGTGCAGCCCCGTGCCCTGGGACAGAGTGGTGCTGCCCCTCCAGGACCTGGCCATGCCGTGGGCTGATGTCCTTCTGTCAGCCTTGTTTTCTAAAGATCATTTATACGGTTTTTCAAGAACTGAGTGTGAGTCCAATACCAAATACCGAGACTCGTTTGGAGGCCAGGTGCATGCAACACACTTTTTTATAAAGATTATTCTAGCCCAGGTATTACATTTAAAGGTGTGTACACAGAGTCAACCTCGGGCTGCAGAGCCATGCATGTACATCCAGGAATGGCTTTCCGTTCCTGTCTGCTCCTTGCTTGGAATAAACTCGGCTGGAAACCATGAAATGGTGGAAGTGGTTGATTGACCCGAGTCCATTTTGTTGTTTTGTTCCTTTGTGTTTTCTGGCGAGGCTGGGACCATCCCATTGTGACGTGCAGGTTGCTGTGCTCCCTTGGGGGGACAGGCTCATGGTGGTGGCAGTGTGGGCAGAGTGCCTCCCTTCTCCTCAGCCCTGCTGCCTTGGTTTGCCCCCTGCCCCGTGGTTTGCAGATGAACCCACGGCTCCAGGAGTGGGGCTGGCATCCCCTCGGCCCACGGCGGTTCTGGTGCTGGTGAGACCTCATGGCATGTCCATGAGACACCCATTTCCCTGGCACTGCCAGCCTTGGCTCTCCAGCTCTGCCTGAGCCAGGCACGACAAACAGCCGGGGTTGTGGTGGCACAAGCAGGGATCTGATTTATGGGTGGGGGCTGGAGCCACACATGGCAGCTCCAGATACATGAATGCATGAATTAGGAATGAAACCACAAATATAAACCAGGGAGGGATTTATTTTTTTGCTGGGGTTTTTTTGATTATCTGATATGACCTACATTTCACAGCTTAATGCTGCAGTAATTTCTGTGCTAAGCACATGGGAATGTATTTGTTTGGATGTTTTATATTTAATTTTAATTTTAATTTAATTTCTTTCATTTGTTGATTTTCTGATTTTTCCTGAAATTGCACGAAGGCAATTAACATCTAGTGGAAGGTATCCCTGCCATGGCAGGGGGTGGAATGAGATGAGCTTTAAGGTCCCTTCCAGCCCAAGCTATCTATGATTCTATGATCTCTTTTTGTCCTGGATAGAGCTTAAGTTACAGCAGTGGGAAATCCATAAGGCATGGGGAGGATGGAAGACACAGTCTGATGGCAGTGACCCCACCACCCCAGCACCCCGAGCTCGTAAACACTTGGCAAAGGAGGTTCTGAGCTCGCTGTGCTGCCGATGTCCCATTTTCCACAGCTGGCCTGGTTGGTGCCAGTGAGGACCCAGCAGAGTCAGCGCTCTCTCTCCCCCATCACCCAGTTTAGGTCCCTCCACCCTCTGTGGCAGCCCAAGGCTCAGGCCCTGCCGGCCGCTCCCTTGTGCAGGGAGGGTTTGCGTTCATTCCCTCTGCCAGGGAGCTGTCGGAGCCAGCACAGCTGCCCCACGCTCCTCCCAGTGCAGGAGCAGGGCCAGCAGCATCTCCGCAGCTCCCCGGTGCCAGGAGAGGCTGAGCTGGCAGGAACCGCCCGTGGCACCCACAACGTGTCTGCCCCTAATTCCTTTGGACAGCTTTCCTGCAGGCTCTGGGTCAGGGACACGGCGAGACGCTCCGTGCCCTTGACTGGCAGCGCAGCCCTGGCTCTGCAGAGGCTCTGCAGGGCTTGTGTCTGCTGTGGGGATGGGCCCCAAATACCTCAGGAC